AAGCAAATTAAAGGGACACTCAGGAGGTGCGATTGGGGCGCATTTTTCAGGGGATGCGCCGTCGTCAACAGTACATAATCAAGCACTCCTTTTGCAAAGCTACCTACGTCATCCGTTCATGTATCTGCCCCCCCCCCCCGCCTTAGTCCCCGCCGTGCCACTTTAGCAGCGAAGAATTTTGTGGGGCTGAGAATGTGAGCGCAGCGTATATCCTGACGTGCAGCCGCCTTCAAAGGCAGCGTCCACGCGAGATCAAGGTTCCCGATCACCATATAATCTACAAGCAGGATGTAGTAATAGGACATATGCGTTGGTCCGGTCCTCTGATGTTATTCTTGAAAGGAGGAAATGGACCTGCAATTCACCGGAAGCCATTAAGACACGTCCACTCAGAGATTGCTCCCTGACGCATGCTGACAAGGCAAGACGCAATGCAACAGGGTACGAGTTATTAGTACGCGTCTTGACTGTGTTACCATGCCAGAACGAGTCAGGACGCGTCAGGGGGGAGCATCTTCGGGTAGGCGTGGCTTGATAGCTTCCGGTGGATTGCATGACCATTTTCTCCTTTCAGGGGTCACATTGGAAGAACGGACCAATGCAGATGCTTCACTTCTAGGGTCTGCTTGTAGCATAGTTTTGATCTTGGTTGGGCGCTGCCCTCAAGCGGGCGAGAATGCGATGCGTGCGTCTCTTCGCCCTTGTAAACTCTGCCCCTCATGCTAATAAAACCATGTTTGCATCCCTAGTTTCTGCGTTTGGTCTAGCAGTAACATATAAGTGGCTGTGGTTGATAACGCGTATAAAGTTGCATCTCCACGTGCAGCATAGCTTTTGGTACTCCCTTGCTATCAGAACCACCACGCTTTCATCTGTTACGACGGCGCCTCTATACGAATCTGCGAGCCGATGATACATAAAAGGAGCATCCATAATCCATCCTTTCCACAGGCCATGTAAAGGTTGATAAACAGTCCATCCGCACTGCAATATCGATCCTTGCATGTATTGCCAAATGGTCGCCATTGACGGTCCCTGGATTTCCATTCGAAGGGGGGAGGGATGGGGGATGACAGGATCTTCCAGAGTGTTAACCTTAAACTACGAAAACTTTTGGGATGCTTTAATACCATCAAATCGGGTTTATGCAAGTCGTGCTCTCGTGAGGTACAAACGCTCGTAGCGTGCTCCCTAAGGCCTCGGGCAGACTTCACGCGACTCAATCGTCGCGATCTAATCGCCAAGATTTCCATTCATTTTCATTTCACATTCAAAAATTTCGGTCTGGAAAAGTATCACAACCGAATGCAAGTTGATCTGCATGGAATGATTTTGTAACAGTTGTCTCCTCGCGATTCAGTCGCGACGATCAAATCGCGTGAAGTCTGCCCGGAGCCTAAGGCCCCGGTCAGACTTCACGCGACTCAATCGTCGCGATCTAATCGCCAAGATTTCCATTCATTTTCATTTCACATTCAAAAATTTCGGTCTGGAAAAGTATCACAGCCGAATGCAAGTTGATCTGCATGGAATGATGTTGTAACAGTTGTCTCCTCGCGATTCAGTCGCGACGATCAAATCGCGTGAAGTCTGCCCGGGGCCTAATATCGCTAGTCCTTGCTGTGGACATCTCGACGGTATTTGTTCCAAGGATCGGTTCAATTCTTTCCCAAATGGGGCCTTTGCCTGGATCGCTTTACACAGTTCAAAGAAAAGCCCCTTGTGCTTCGCACAACGCATTCAGTCGGCAATGCTTCTTCGTCACTCATGGATTGAATTTTGAAAAAGAGTTAACCACCATGGTATTTGCACATTGATATATAGTTCATTTAAAAATCATGACGATGGATTTTACTGCGGACTTTGCGCCCAAGGAGTATAAAGCGCTCATACAAGAAGGCATCACCTCGATGTTCAGTGCAGTCACTTCAGTGTCTAAATATTATTATGCGCAAGCAAAAGAACCATTCGACTATAAATGAAAGCTAAGAAAATGCGATTTCCGGAAGTGGCGTGCGTGTCGCGTGCGGTCGCGCCATCATCGCGATTTTTCAACCGCCTTTTAGGCCTAGGCATACCTCAAGCGATTCCAGTCGCTGCGCGATTTGGTACCGGAACGACTATTCATAATTGTTCGTCAGAGCGCTTTGCTAAGGCAGGATTTGATCGGTCTGCAACGAATTAGAGAAGCTACGAGTCTATGTATTTGAGGACCGCTCACGATAAACTTGAAGGTGTCTGGCAAACTGCCAGGTCGCGTGAACATCGCGATTTGGTCAAATCGCGCAAGGTATGCCTTAGGCTTTAGAATGTGTATGTCGCCAAAAGGGGTTCTAGTTCTATTTCAGTTCTAAGGGACGTCCAAGCAGCACGGTTCCGTGTATCTCACAGAATTGTTAGAATTAAAATAAATGACCGTAAGGTCTGTGCCTAAGGCAGGCGCTATACTCCTCGAGTACAGCATGACGACGGATGATCGCCATTCGCTACGATCGGCGATCGCCAGTGCTAAGTTGAAGATTGCACACTAGATAGATAGCTGTCGATTGGCATGAGTTTACATGTCCAGTCGATGCGTATCCAAGTGTAGTCGCCAAAACTGGCGATCACTATTCGCTAGGGCTGGCGGGCGCCAATCGCTACGACTGGCGATCGCCATTTGCCAACGTTAGCGACTGTGTCTTCTATGCGTATCGATCGAACAAGTTACCACACATTTGCTGCGTATCGATAACATGTGGAAATCATTAGCGAATTTCTATGTTAAGTGCAGTTGCCATTTGCGACTGGCAGTCGCCCATCTTAATTTCGGCGACTGGCGATCGCCAATATCGACGATAAAAATCGTCGATTTTACACGTTTTTGATGCATATCGATCAAAGGGGTGTTATGTTCCTCGAAGAGTATAGCGCCTACCTAAGGCACATGACTTGATCCGCTTCAATTGGTCAGCTCCTGTTTGGTTACCTCCTAGCAACTTCTGATTTGATTGGACAAACTTTGTTACCTACTCTCCTTATTAGTGGGATAGTACAGTAAGTTTAGCTCAAGTTAGGCGGAAGTCCGCTACGCAACGATTCGCGCCGCATTACAGTCTGCGTCTCTTCATTCTGATCTATCTCGCTGAGCCAGCGGAGGTGCGGACGCGCTGCTCACTTGGAGTTCCGCACTCCGGGTTGAAAAGACTGTACCGTACCCGTCTCAATGAAAAGTTGGGTACTTTTCCGTCATTCGGACCCATTCTTATAAAGGGCTATCATATAATACGTTCTTTAGTCTAAAAATGGTTTTGTATAGATTCTACGAGGACTGCCTCCTTGCCACGTGTGACGAACTGACACTTTTTGGTCCATTTTGACATATTTTTTCGAAAGTATTTCTGGTGACATGAAAGAGAATTTGTGATCATGTTCTATAAGGGCAAACCAACCTTGAACTCATTTTGAAACATCGTTATTGCCTTCAGCATTGATTCAAAAATGTCTTCATCTTCAAACCCTTTTCGCCAGGCAAATTTAGCCACAAAAGCATAAATGATGGCTTGAAGAACCTTGTTGCTGTTTATTTCGCCTGAATGACGGAATCCTAGCGCACTTCTCTAATCTAAGCAAGTCTAATTTGTTCTTCGATAATAGTATGTTGTTATTATTATGACAGTGCTCATTTTGAGATTATTGGTTGAAATGAGGTCTAAATTGACTATAGAAAATGGATTGAGCTTAAGTCGTTAGGGAGAACGAACTCTTGAAGCTGAAACGTATTAAACATGTAGATAACATGTCAAATTTTTTGGACACGTGGTAGAAGGTTGACACTGCTTGCTGTGAGCTGGGAACAAATATGTTCAAGGATAAAAGCAGTATCTTTCTTTGACAAAAAAATGGGTCCAGGTAACGAAAAGTACCAAACAGGGCTCGGCATGAGGTGGCAAAATGCTTGAAGGTTAGGAGGTTTGGAAATGCAAAAAACGAAGTCCCACTTCCGCGAGTTTTTACGAATCCTCTTTGACCCTACACCCTATTGGACCCGTCATACTTCGCCGAGAAAAGCCCAAAAGCACCAAAGCCCGAAAAGCCTAAAAAAGAAAAAAAAGCCCAAAATGCCGGAAAAAGCCCGAAAGAGCCGGAACGCAAAAACGGACTTTTGGTAGAATTCTGACATTGATGTACAAACGACAGAAAATGAAGCAAAAAGACTCGGTTACGAAATCAACACACATGCCTTAGCGTCAGAACCTAACGGGCGTTTCGACTCTTTCCGGCTTTTTCGGCTCTCTTGGGCTTTTTCGGGCTTTTTGAGCTTTTTCAGGCTTTTTCGGGCTTCTTTGTGCTATTTTGGACTTTTTCGGGCTTTTTTTGAGCTTTTCTCGGCGACGTATGATGGCTCCCTAAACGTAAAAAACCCTCAAATAAGAAACATTGACTAAAAAACTTCACAATTTTTGCGTCTTTTCGGCCTCAAAAACGATACCCCCTTTGCTTTTTGTACCAAAAACGATATCCAGCTTGTTTACAAGCCACCTGTGCCGAACCCCAGTACCAAAAGTTGTTTTAAATTTTTTGGTTTTGATATTCTTGAAGTAATCAATTTACACATGTTATAAGCGAACAATGTAAGGGTAAAACATCAACCTAAGCTTCTTTCGAGCTTTCCCAATATACCATGCTTCCACAAAATTTCTGTAGGGATGAGGGATGGGAAATCACTGTTTTCGAGGTCGAACCGTTGTAGAGTTTTTTCAAAGTAATTTCTAACCATACTGATAGTCTTTCTTTATCAAATCGCCACAAATCAAGAACCGCTTGACTCCAATTTATTGTAGTTAGGCTGTCATACCTGAGGCTGGTTAACAGTCTATTATCACAGTATCAAACCACCTGAAGTGACCTTTTCCATAATAGAGGGCCGAGTATATCTCTCAGTATCATTTCTCCATTTGCAACTCAGTCATAGGCCAAGAATCTCTATAAAAGGCTGGTTAATAATCTCACTAATTCGTCTGCTAGCAGAATGTCTTCTCTCTTTTGTTTCTTGGCTTTCTTCCTCGCTGTGCAGGTAAGTCCAGACAGAATTCGTCTTTCACTCAAAGTTCTTTAATAATCTCATTTCCAGAACATCGATGCAGAGCGTCCGATTGAAGTAAGAGTGATAACCAATCAGCTGTTCCATCGCCATTTGAATGACATGCATATAAAAGTGTTCAGAAATATGGTAAGTTTATTTTGAACCATAAAGATAGCTATAATGTATTTTAAAGCTGGACGAGTACATCGGCACTAAAGGTATCAATTTTGCGGAAGAGGAGATTCAAGAGAGGATTGTGGACGAGGGAGGCATGTTCGCTGTTCGCTACATTCTGCGTGATTTTGACTGCGATGAGGTATGAAAACACCCAAATTTACACTTACTTACAAATTCTCAACATATTTTGGCCAATATTGCTAGAAATACATTTTGGGGTACCTTCTTGTAAAAAAATTTTTTCAGCTGATCGAACTTGCACGTGATGGTAAAAGCAGGACCGACTTTGTATCAGCCGTCAAAATCAAGTGCCCGTGCAGATCCGAGATTGTGATTGATTCTACAAATATGAACCAATATGAGAACATGAATCAGTATCAATAAATGATAATTAACTGCTGTTGGTCTGTGTATATAAATGCAAGTTCATAGAAATATAGATGTCTCAGGAAAACATTGAGGAAATGCATAGAAAAAAATTATGTCAAACAGTTTGAAGTAGTTCATGTATATTATAGAATTAAATCAATGAGGGGCTTTTGATGTAAACTGGAGAAAACCTTTTTATCGAAGTTTCTGAACAATTTTAGCATATTTGTCATAAAAAGAGTGTCTCAAGAAAATTCACAAATATTATCTCAAAGCCTTGTTTATTGCAAAAATTTTTGAATGTACGTAAAATAAATTGAGGGATATCAAAAAAAATCTCTAATTCATACATAACTAACAAGTGACAAAAGCGAAAAGCATGATGATCCTCTTAGACATTTGAGTGTTCCTGTGGTAGTTCCTGAAAGAACGATTGAATTTTGTCAACTACTGTAACATACTGGATTATGATATGACTACAATTCCTATTCAATGTGAAACTAGGAATGTAAATTTGATTGTTTAGGGTTTTGTTGTTATGCTCACCATGTCTTCCTTACCATGTTCGAGTTATTGTTTCGGAGATCGAAACAAACCTTCTGTTTTCCAATTTTTATTATGGTTTCTTCACAAGCACACGCTGTTTGAAGCAAAAAAAAAACGTTTTTGAATCATCCAAAGCAGATGAAATTCTGGTAATAGTTCTCGATTACTATGAAGAAGAAGCATAAATTTGCATGTGAGGCGAAGGGGGGGGGGGAAGAGATCCAAGAAGGTTTTTTCGCCTAAACTCTTTAATCTTTCGTGCATCAGAAAAGCATAGTTCCGTGCACGAATCCCATTTGAGCTCCCTTGCACCTCGCATCTGGCATTTTGCCAGCCAAAGTTTGAGAAAGTAATTAGAAAACAGTTTGCAACATCAGTGCTAGTGAAGACTGACGTGAATTTGGTGATGTCTTGGACAGGTTCGATTGGGCCGTGTCTGTTTTTTTTTGCATAAATCTGATGATGTGATTACCCAATATTACGAATATCTAAAAAGACCAAATCTGGTATATATAGTTAAATCATCGCACGCAGTGTTTGGACGTTATTGCGTCCGGCAAGGATAGTTCGGGCTTGGAAGAGACGGCAGACGGTAGCGCTAATCGCGCCCTCTCTCTCTGCGTGCGACGAATCTTATATATAAAGCTGAATGTCTGTTTGTCTTTCTGACTGTATGTCTGTCTGTATGTCTGTCTGTATGTCTGTGTGTACGTATGTTCCGAATAGAAAATTCCATTTCTGAACCGATCGGGACCAAACTTGGCACACGTACACTTCGGGCCCCGGCGGGTGTCATAGGCTACTTTTCGTATCGATCGATATCGATTATCGATTTTTTGCAAAATTTGAGCTACGGGGCTGGGAGGGGTGATCAGCATGCTCGATTACACCCCCTGCAAAATTCCAGCCCCCTAGCTCAAATTTTGCAAAAAAATCGATAAAATCGATAAAAGTAATGCACGGTTTCGAAAACTAATATTGTATTCGTAATCAGCATGCTCGATTACCCCCCTGTGCCAAATCCCAGCCCCCTAGCTCAAATTTTGCAAAAAATCGATAAAATCGACATCAATCGATAACGAAAAGTGGACTGTGACACCCGCCGGGGCCCGAAGTGTATGTGTGCCAAGCTTGGTTCTGATCGGTTAAGAAATGGAATTTTCTATTCGGAACATACGGCGGAGCCGGGTAAGCCAGCTAGTCACCTATAATTTTGACGGTTTTGTAGGTGAAAACTTGCTATGCTATGCTTAAAATATGCTTTAAATTCTTGGCGCATCACTGTACAAGCACGAGGTTCGAATCTCATCTAGAAAAGTTCTGGACTTGGCTTTCAGAGAAAATTGAGACTGTATGACCCTGAACAACTTGTTTTGCTTTCGCTATGCATGTCTTAAATAGGCTTTCTCTTGTTCATACCTTGTGATCCATTTATTTCGCTCCGAGTAACTTCACCATCAAGTGCCTTTATAGCGATGAGGTCAAGATAACCGGATTGAGGCTTAGAGGTCGAATAAAGACAATGAGAATTCTCAAAAGTTTAGTCTAACTCATCCTAGCAGATACGATAAGTTCAAAATTATGCACTTAGCAAGAACCATGATTATAATACCAAAGATGATGCATATTTCCTTTTTTGGTCTGTCTATCGTTTGCCACAATCTCGCTAACTTTTTCTTCATGGCGCTTTCTTTCGCGTTCAGCAGAAACTATAATGAAAAATCGTAATGCGGACAATCATGTTCCAGAATGATTCCTCTGTATCTATACAGGGTTCCTATCATGATTCTACAGAAATCCAGCACTTTCTTGTCTGTTTCGATTTTGCTTGATATGCTGACAACGAACGCCAAACGCCAAACGCAGCCTTTCGCGGACAACTGACACAAAGGCAGCTTCACAGCTTTTTCACAGTGATTTCGCTCCTCTGTTCAAGGACTGCGGAAATTTTTACACTTACATCCAGATATGGATATAAGTAAGCGGGACAAAAGGAGTGGAGAGTTATCTTTACAAGTGATGAGATTGTATATTTTATTTGATAAAAAAAATGATCAGTTGTTAGTAAGCGCGCGAAATAGTGATATAAACTGGTTCGCCCATAGGATATTGCAGATTTGACGCACCTTTCGTGCGTTGCGGGCGCGCAGCGCCAGGCCAAGGTGAGTGTGGAACAAAGTAGAAATCGATGCTAGCGGCAGACAACTAAATTCACATCATTTTTCAGTTGATGTATTGTGCGGTTACTAAAATTAAGATCATACAAGATAGTTTTTACCCTATACCATCGATTTGGACATTACGGTTGATACATTCTCCTTTTGTTCATAGTGTAACTGCACACCACACGCACTTTCTATTACACATGGTCAAAACAAACTGCAGATGTTCTTAACACACACAAGTGAAGTAACTATCAATTTGTATTGTTACATCATGTTTTGTACAAGTCATCCCGTGAAAGTACGAAACTGTGAAACGCGTTTATAGCTATGTAAAAAATATTTGGAGATTTGTCTGATTTTTATTCAAGGGCTAATTTTTGAACAGCAGAGATAAAATGTAATTTTAAAATCTTATATAACTCGCTCTCAGGACTAAAAATTTACTTGCCAGGGTAGAAAATGCTTGGCATTGTCGCCTATTATCAATGATAAGCTTTGAACATTGCAACGGATCGAAATTCGCAGGATAAAAAAACCGCAATAAAAAAATGATTTTACAGAAAATTCGAAAAAGCAAGATTTATTGAGTTTGCCGGGTGAGTTCATAGCATTATTTGTGAAGATATTATTTTTATTTTAGAACTTATATGAGAACGAGGTGGTAAATAAGAAAAAACAGTCTTGATCTTGGTTTGTAAGCTTCAATGTTCGAACAAAAAAATTGAAGTTCCAAATTGCAGTTTAGAGGCTAATTCATGACGAAGGCGGTCGATTTATTGCGCAAAGCGGATGCGCGCGCAGCGATCAAGCATCTTCATCATTCCTAGGAACTAGCCTTTTGTCATTTTATGCTCCGAATATGTGCCAATGCACACATCACACACATTGCGCGCCTCATCCCAACTTCCATAGGGGGGAGGGGGGAGGGTCTTTCGAGTGTTGCCCGGCATTTTCTCCTGATCTGTTCCATTTACAGGCACATTCAGTTTGAAATTTGGATATAAACCAACTACTAACTGCAATCCAATGAAAGATGTGCTTTCCTGAGTTGGAGAAAACAGTTTTGAGTTGGCAGCAAGTGCTGATTCCTGAAAAGAAGGTAGATGGTGGTCAATTGATGGAAATAAAAGTTGCTTTTGAGAACCGGTTAATTGCAAATTCACAGAACCACCATCACTAAAGTATTTACTTCTCGTTCATGGCTATGATTTTATTCTTGAACTCCATTATATATACACATGATTCATCAAGTGCCATAAACTGTTAATCCACCGGAGAACTACCAAAAAAGCCGTTGGATCAAGTTTCAGATTTTTGCGAGAAGAGGACTTCGCTTGCACTTTTAGGCAAAGTGCATATTATCTCAAGAATCTAATTCACGCTCGCATGAACTTATGTATACCCTATGATTCAACGGATTGGCGGCTGAAAGGCGACCGCTCGCACCCGGACGCAGTCTACGTCTCTCTGGCGCCCGTGCTCTCCGATCTGTCCATAGCCTTCGAGGCTCCACCTTCCAGCCGCCAGTCCGGTTGAATCAAAGAGTATATACTGGTGAGTGCGGTGCAAAAGATAACAATTATATATTTTGCGCTCAAACCAGACACTCCGCCTCTGAGCTTTGAGCGGTAGAAGGTATGATATGAGGAGTTGACCAGTACTGAAAGGAAACACGTACCTCGATATAGTAAAGATGGGCGGAGCATCAAGCTGTGCCTACTGCATCATCCGTAGACTTTTTTGATTCATGCCAAAAATTATGCACGAATAAGTTCCTGCTTGCTAGAAAAGTAAAGGCTACTGCAGGACGAAGGCGCAGAAGCGCTATTAGTTGAACGGGTGCGAACGAGGCGCGCGCGTATCCTCCACTGTTGTAAATCCTGCGTCTCAGCGCTCCGCTGCTAATAGAACCGCTTTTGCGCCTAAAGATATTGCGCCTTCGTCATGAAGCAGCCTATATGTCTACCAACAGTGTGACAATCACACAATTTCGTCTCGACGCGCGGTCGGTATTTTCTTAGGATATAATTTCTTACTTGACAGCACATCTTTTTTGAATTTGAAAGAAAAATTAGGAGCAAGGAAATGATGGGAATTATGGGTCTATTAAGCGCCACAATGTATCTGCAGCTAGGGTATGCATTCATTTATACGTTCTGGACACTTGGAATATGGTACCCGCCTAGATATCTATCGCATTCCATTATAATCTACAACATTGTATAGCCCGTTCTGTGTTTAAAGGGCAAAAGGGCAAAGGCGCCGTCGCTGCGCATGCACTCGCCTTTGCGGCAGTTTTTTCGCGCTCTATTCCAAAAGCACTGAGCAGCGTGAGCTGCGTCTTGGTGGCTATGAAAAGAACACCCTTCCTACAATTATTTAGTGAGTTTGAAAGCAGTCTTATTGCTATCTTGATCCGAATTCACGCAAAAAAGCCATTCTTACGATGCAGAATGTGACTCTTGCGAGTAAAAAATGGCTGAGGTACCTACAGTTTCGTTTTTGATTGTGCCCGTCAGCCACTTTTTTACGCGCAAGTGTTGTCGGCGACGGAAGAACACCCCATCTAACTAATTAAATCTATTAGACTGTACAGCAAAAGCACTACATCAAAATTCTCTTTTTATACTGGAAGGACGTAAAGGCAGTTAGCTCTGGCAGACTTGAGGACACTTCGTAAAAGGTAAATGAAGCGAAGTGGCGTGGTCGTATGGTCAGGCTAATTTGTAGGTACGAACATGTTCCAATCTCAACATTACCATGTTATAGTATGTGTCGCAATAAGTTTGAAAAAAGGTTTTTGAGTGTATATTTCTGAAAAACTTTTGGTACGGATTCAATATGACAAATGAGACGGAACTTACTTCCTCATTTCGGTTAACGGACTAGATCTGACAACTTCCTTCCACATGACATTACTTTACTTCGCACGCAGAATATGTATCTATAACAGGTTACTAACACGTTAAACAAGTTTTTACTGGTCCACGTCGTGGTCATTTACACGTCGCGACCAGGTAGAGTGCAGACAAACACAGAGACGCGGCGCCAATTCACTTGTAATCACTGGAGCGCGTTTTTTTTAACCAGGCATGTGCCAATTACGGTAATTGAGGTCAATTATCGTAATTGCAACATGGTACATGCGGTTTGCTGTTAAGGGTGAAAGCACTGGAAGCTAAAGGAAAGCTGAACCACTTGTCAAAGCTGGTTATTTAGCTTTCACAAGCTCCGCCCTGCGAGATGTGAAGCTTTCGCTTAGGTGTTCTCCCGCACCACTTCTGGATGTGGGAGAACACAGATGAGGTACGGGCTTCGTCTCCAGTTCACATTGGTGACGGGGGCGTGACACCGGGGGCGGGGGCGTGAACGGGATCGCGCGACGTCTCGCCCCGGCTTGGGGAGCGTCCGCCGACCGCAATGTCTCTATTACGCTGTGTCATTCTCGTCGCGCTACCCGGTATTCTCGGCTATTCGCTACGTGATGACATCCGACTACTTGACGACATCGTCGAAGTCGATGCTCAAGCGTCGCGACATCGCGAACGGCGACATCAGTCGGCCGCAAGCAGTGACTCGCGGCGCCAACTTATGGGTCTTACCGAGGAGGAACATAACACTGTACAATATTATTTAGACAAATTGCGACAACTAGGCAAGCAACGGCATCCGGAAGGCAATGATAAGGTAAGAGTCGCTATACTCTTTTTTTGATTTCTATTTTTGTCTGCAATTGCACCAAATCCCATTGTCCTGCATTTGACTACCAGCGAGTGTGCGGAATCGCGTAATCTCGTGCGCAGCTCGCTCATAAAAAGTGCCGGAGCAATGGTCTAGTGTGTGTGGTCGCAGACAATGTATTGTTTGACATGTTTTTGTGTGGTTTTTTGATTTGTCAAAGCTTGTCGTACAACATTGCAAAGTCTGCAACCGCACCGCGCAGTGTGCCAAGCTGTTTTGCCACTTTTTTCTGAACAGACAATGAACGTGTGTGTGTGTTTTTTGTGACAAAAACATGAATCCCATCCGTTTGGATTTTGGCTTTTGCATTTTTTTTTTGAATTGTGTGAAATTTGAGCTGTCTTAGTCATTTTGTGGAATCTCTTTCTGACAAAGCCGTGTTTTTTTTCTGTGCCTGATTCATCACACACCAAGTCGTTCTAACGTTGTACAGCTCAGTTTCGACATGATCCTTCTGAACGGTTTTTTATTTCTCATAGCAAACAGGGTCTAACATTCGTTCGTCATACACACTTGTTGCGCATTCCGTCACCTCATTACATTCTCCTCTCTCTCCTTCCGTCTCCTCACTAGCTACGTCGCTTAGAAAAAAACTTGAGAACTCTTGCATTGATTGCTTCTCGGTATGTACATAATGACTTGGCAAAAGTGCAAGATGCAATTTTACACTTACAAAAAAAAATTGCGCAACTGAATCTTTTGTAAATAATGAGTGGTATTTACGCTCATCCTATCCTGTCAATCTGTGTCAGTGTAAATCTCTTCGGAATCTTCTTTGTAGTTTTGTGTGCTTACTACAGTTATCGATTGATTTTTCTAGCTCAATTGTCTTTGTAATTTAGGCGTATTGCACACCATGCGCGCTACCTCGCGACTTGTAAACTTGGAATATGTTATATTACTGGAGTTTCTTTTTGCTTTCTTCTCTCTTTTAGTTTGGTCTGTCATGTTAGGTTAGTAGTACATACTTCCACAGATTGTTTTTTTAGAAAAGTTTTTACTGGCGGCCGCACGCAGTGAGTAGGCACACTTGTTAAGTTACAAGTTACTCAAGTATAGGTTTTCTTTTTCCAGTGAAAATTTGTTTACCTGAAAGCTGAAAAAACCTGAAGTTGAACTGCTCCCATGCAAAACGTTAGAAGATGTTCGCTTTCCCTCGGTCGTAATTGCACAAAATTGCCACGGTCAGAAAATAGCCTCAAGTTTCACTTTTCTCTCAATCTACCATTAAACTAGTTTTGTCACGGCTCTCACAATGCTTTCCATTTTATTTTTGTTCTGTGGTCAATCAGGGTTTTGCAAAAAGTCGTTCCTAGCACTGATCGATCATCAAGAGAAAAAAATCCAAAGCCGCAATTACACAAACTAATTTGTGCCATGCACTTTCATTGTCAATTTACAAAGTAGGAGGTATGAGAACGCTAAGTCATGTCATAACAAGTCAAAACTTGTCTTATCTTATTATGAACGAAAAGTCAAGCTTGTTACTACGTGCACAGCGCTGTTTAGTGTCTTTGGTATTTGAATCGAGTATGAACAGTCGTTTATACTTGTAAATATTATGAACAAAAAAAACAGTATTGTGTTGAGTCTGCGCGAAGTAAAAAGTCCTTGAGGTGGAAGTATCTAATCTTACTTGTGAATTATTTTGAATTTCAATTGGTGGTTCTCTACACAAATTCAAAAGTGCACAGACGCAAACTTGCACATCCTTCCTTACAAATCCTTCTTTTGGCAAAACAAGTCTAGCTTATCGACTGATTTGCTTGTTAACAGTAGAAAAATTGACGCGCGATCTCTGCGCGTAGTCATTGATAGTAGTTCGGCCTATAATTTGCTGTGCTATGATCATTTGTCTTTCATCGTCCAAGGTCAGTTTTTGTTCGTATTGGGCTCTCGTACACGACCTCAAAAATCGCGATCATTGCCCTCTACACACCTCATTTCGAATAGTTCTTTTATTGGAGCAGATTTTCGCAATGCAGCGCGTTTTTGCGGCTGTGGTAGTCCTCTTTTTTGAATTTCTCTTTCTTCTATACATTCGAAAATCTTCCAGTATGTACGAACCGTGTGTATATGTATCTTGTTGCCAAAAGCGCAATAAACCCTATCTTTATCCTCCCCCTCCTCTTCATCTTACTTGCAGCAGAAACTAGCCTATTTTATTGGAGCACATTTTCGCATTGGAGCGTGCTTTTTTGGTTATACAATTCTTCTTCTCTGGATTTCACTTTGAATTTTCTCTCAGAATCTGCCAGTCTGTCAGTTTCTTTGTTGAAAGAAGTATGACAAATTTTTCTCTTCAACCTTCCTCCCCCCCCCTCCATCTCACTAGTGATTGAATTCTAGCCCATTTCCTATCGATAATAAAAGAAGACCGACCCTGCGGTGCCGATACGACTGCCGCTCTCTCAAAGACCTTGTTCTTTCGTACCATAAATCAGCATGTCACTTTGTTGTTTCACCCCCGCTGCCGCTGGTTGCGAGTTCAACTACCGAACTTACACAGTTTGGCCAACTAGTGATGTCAAAGTATACTTTGCACTTTCTACGTCACAAAGTTCTCTGCGAACGCCTAAGTACAAAATATGGACTGTTCTAGATTTGTTCTCACACCTTAGAGTGTACAGTACCGAACTTGAACCCACTTGATCACTGCCCCCATTTGTCTTTCTTGTCCACGAAATGTGGACAAGAAAGACAAATGGGGCAAAGATCGGGATGGTCATTTGATTTTGGAACTATTTTACAATAGTAATCGGGTTACTGATCAACTAAATCATCAACAAAAACCTAGCTCAATATAAAAATAAATATTCAGCAAACTCTCATCAAAATCTTCAAAATAGCATCAAATAGACCTGCCAACAATATTTGCGCGTAAGCGATGTAAATATGTGCTCTAAGGCCATTTGTTACGAGCAGGTGGCAGGCAAATTACCGGCATTCACAGAAATGATTTGTTTCCGCGCAAATATTGTCGCCACTGCAGCAACGCTATAAGCAACCTCAAACCTTCTAGACTGTAAGTGTACCGATATTTGCACTTGAATCAAACAATATGTGTGGTTAGCAGATAAATGTATTTGCCCGGGCATTTCTAAAAATTTCCGATTATGGAAGGACTTTTTAAGATTCCTCACATGAACTGAATTCTCAAGAAATTCAGGCATTTTTGTGTGAAAGTGCTTGAATATGACTTAAGTTATTGCTCATTCATCTGTGTCTAATTCCTGCATTCTTCAAAGTGTGTTGCTCGAAAAATCTGTTGTCAATTCGAACAACTTCCTTTTTCAAAAACACATACTTTCAATTTCTCCTTTGAGTCATGAAACAGTTGGCCAAATTTGGACAAAAAGTTTATTGGGTGGATCTCTTAGTCACTTTGCTTTAACAAAATTACTTTCTTAAGTGCTCTGAAATTTCCAAACTCGTTTTACATAATCGTTTGATGCTCTTACTTTTAACAAGTGAATGTAAAAGCTTTTGATGAAATTATCAAACAGGTTCGGTTGATGACTTGGGCAAAAGTCACTTTACACTTTTTCGACGCTTGATGCCTGCTATGGAGAAATTATATGATCGTAGATGATCTCTAGCATACTTTCAGATGAGGGGGGGGGTACAAAATTTTTTGAAAAATAACGGATAAGAGATGAGGAGGGGCCAATTATACTATGATGTACTGCCTTTATCTTCAGTTGTGACAAAAAATAGAAATTAGGTGGCTTGTTCAGAGATTTGCGGCACCCCCCCCCCCTCCCTCCCTCTTTCGCTACCTCTCTCTGACGAACATGAAGTAGATATATTTTCTTATATTCCCTTTTCAACAGGATTGGCGGCTGATGGGTGGGGTCACGTCCTCGCGGCCGCTCGCCTGGCTCTGCATTTCTTTCGCGATCGTGCTCTCTAGTGATTTAAGCTCCGCCTTTCCCACGCTCTTGGTGGGAAAGTATTTAGAAAGCTCACGAAAGAGGTGCAGAGCCCAAGCAGCCCCCCCCCCCCCCGCCATCCAGCCGTTAATCCTGTTGATTCCGCTTGCTCTGCCATCTTCAGCTTTCGGGTGGATTTCGAATACAGTAATTATAGTGCAGGGCGCAGCGTTGTGCGCAGTGGGCGGTCTTTTTTGCAATATGCGGCGCGGTTGTCGTTCCGGATACAATCAATTGAAGAATTTTATCGATTATTTTGTGGCATAACGTCTGTAAACTTCCGGAGTATAATTTTGTAAATTTAGAGCAATTGTGAACCCTCTTCACTAGTTTTTTTTTGAACAACTAGGAAATTTCTTTCAACTATTTTCCTATTTTCTTGACTACGAAGTGAAATGAACTTTAGCCTGATTCGTCAATCAAGTTTCGTCAATTGCATGTATGACTGAACTGTATATATGTGGGTCTATGCGAAAAACTCGTTCCGATTTTGTTGGCGCAACGTTGGTGAACTAGTGTTGATTGACAGCATTTAACTACATGTAGTGCAGAGAAATCATTATGTCAAGGGGGTTGTCAGTCATTTTTTTGCCTGGCTGGAGCGGAAAAATTAAAATTTTCTACTCTCCTCAAAATTATAAGAGAGTGTTAACTCGCGAAAGAAGGGGCCGCTGCCTTTTTTTTTCGCGACAAAAACCTTGCATTGGTCTAGTTCTATTCTTTACTCGTACTTCAAGGCTGACCTTCAAGTGCGTAAATCCATTCAAAATGGAGTTGTTGGTCCTTAACCTAGAACTATCAATCTTGGGTTACGTCTAAAAAAACAGGTTGTAGTAAGTTCACGTTATAGAGGTCGAACTCAAGGTTGTACGATCGCTCCAGGTACCACGAGTTTTTTTTGGGCTAGATTTACGATGCTTCAGTTAGGGAATAAAAAATAATTTAGAAGTATATTACAATAGAATTTGACCTGTATTTAGTGCAATTGCACACCACACACCAACTATAAAGGAGGCAGCCGGTAAATGGTCCGAAACGTTTGCACTAGCTGCGTGGTCCACTTGACTCAAAATAGTTGTGTCGTGTGTGGTGTGCAATTGCACCATGTGCTTATGAGCGGAAAAGGGCAATTGCCCCACTTGAGAACGGAATTTTTGAATGTTGGAAATAAACGAATATAGCGGATGATTTAATATTGTTTTTACGAAAAAATTGCTTTTTAAAGTTTTCTTGAGAACTTATTTTTTGGAAGTTTTGACGGTAACCTTTCTTCGCAGCAAAATTTTAGAGTCTCAGTCTTGAGAATTTTGAACAGCTACCTTAATAATTTTTTGTGTGGGCAGCTAAGAACACATCTCTTCCGCATGTGAAAAGTTTTTCACCTCATCACCCATATCGTAAATTTTCTACGATTGCCATAAACCACTACTTTGTAGAAAAAGAACTTACGACATTTGGAAAATTGCGCAATTTACTATCACTTTTCCTGTTTATTTTCTAGCCGTGATTTGCTTTGAAAACAATCAATCGGAAAGCGGTTTCTGCTATGTTCATAATATGCAATGATGCATGAAATACGATCAGATATTAACAGCAACAGGATGAGACTGCCAGTCGCTTGTTCAGAAGAAGGAAAGCAACGTTATAAAATGTATAGTTCCCTATATGTTTATCTTGGAAGCTAGAACCAATAATCGATGATGCTGAGAGAAATCTCCAACTTTCATTTCAGAGACAAAATTGGACTTCGGAACTTTGTTTCAAGCCTGTTCCAGCGCGGGGGAGGGAGATGAGGGTGCGAAATTTTCACAAAAGTTCTAATGTTCTGTAGATAACTCATTTCTATGTAAGGAACAACATAGTTTATGAGTATTAAGAAAAAAGAAGTTAGCTTAGTAAAAAGGTTCTTTTGGGGGCCATGCCGCGACTTTTCTCCGAAAGAGTTTGCAAAAAAAGCTTCTTCAAAAAAATGATCAAAAGTCATTTCATTCAAAAAATTTTAGTCTTCCCTTATTCTTCCCTGATTCAAATGCTTGGGCCGCTTCTGTCTCACCATTGCCTTCTAATGAGTTGACGAGGTTGGGGTGTCGGGAACTACTTCAGTCTTTGTCCATACTTACTCATACAACTGACCCGAACTTCTGCAGAACGTTTGGGAAAGTTCCGCCGAGTCACCTGCGGAAGTTCTGTAGACGTGCTGCGGAAGTTTCCATATGAGGGCTGCGAAAGTTGCGGAAATTCCGCGGCGTTTGTAGAAAGTCCTGCGGAAGCTCCCTTTTCAACCAGTTTGACGTGCAAATCCTGCGGAAGTCCCCATTTTCAACCACTTTCGCAATAGTAAATAGAACCCTGCAAAACCGCTGCGAATTTCGCTTCTCCTGCGGAAGTTTGAGTGAATTGTCTGAGTACCCTAGGAAGCTCTTTGCTGAAAATCAATTTTTGATGGGCTATAGCGTTGGCGGTAGCTCGTTCTTGAAAATCGAAAAAACTCCCGCTCTGTTCTCGTAAAACCTAAATTTCACTAGAATTTGCACTATCTTCAGACAAGTGCTATGACAAATATTGGACTTCTCCTCCTTGATGACTCAGTCATTTGCAGATTTGTGCAAAAGGACAATTTAGTGTGTAAAGAGTGACACCTCACTAGTGGCCTCACTCAAAAGATTTTCTAGTGGTGACGATAATCAGATTTTTTTTGGTCAGGGGATCTTTTAGAGTGCTGTAGAACACCGAATTATAAAATAGTGCAGTTTTTATGTAATTAGGCATTTGAAAAATAATCTGGCATGAGGAAAAATTTTTTTCGGTGGATGGTTTCTAATGTGAGAAATCTATATAACAGTCTGAACTATGTAGGAAAAGTTGTTTTTCTCGTCCTTGCTGCCTATCTTCTACTGCCATCAAGCTGGAAATTATTTTAGTCTCAGAATCTTTGAAAATTTATTTTTCACTACACTTTTTCAGCAACAAGAAAATGATGATTTGATGAAATGGCGGAAACGTATGCGAGGCGATGTTGAGGGAGAAATTTTGAATCCAGAAGAACATGGACGTCATTTTGAGGGTAACTATCACTGTATGTTCTTGAAAATTCACCTAAAGTCATATTTTAGGCGATATTATATTGTTCCCGGACCAAGCTAAGGAAATCTATGAAAACGCATTGAAATCTGGTAGTAGGCGAGTGAAACGGAAATTTATTGGATCAAGTCTGAGGCGATGGGATCCAATGCGACCAATTATCTACAGTTTCGACGGGTCACACAGTGGGTATTGCACTATTTTTTACACAATTTTTTTTATCAATTTCTTTGTGCCATATTTTTTTTGTTTCAAGGAGATTTTATTAGAACTTGTTTTCGTTTAAATTGATTTATTCCACCAAGACATTCAGGGGATTCAAAATTTTTACCCTATTTGTGACATACGGTGTATGACCTTTATAGTTCTTGTGCTAGGCATAAAAATGGTAGTTGTGGCTGGAATTTTTCATTTTCGTTCCAAAACTGATAGATTTCATTAGAGCGTACCCATCCAATTTTATGAGTAGTTTTTGACCATTGAAGACAGCCTGGGCCACCGATGGCCCACAGCATTTTTTGAATTTTAAGTGTCAATAATCATATCCTTCTTCTAAACATTTGCAGCGGGCTGGTTTTTGATAAACACTTCCACAAGCTTGGCTTCCTTGCCAACATCATTATCAGTTGAAAAAAACAGTTGCCTGTGGTAAAATAATCATAATTTATACTGAAAAAGTTTTTGAAAATTGCGTTGTTGTCCATGAGTCAAAACAAGCACCCGTTATCACCACTGCCTTCTTTTAGCTGTAGAAAGCTTATTTTGGTCTAGCGATATTTGTTTATGCGTCCAAACGAGACCCAAACATTTCATGAAAGACCATAAGTCGTATAACTGCCACGTTCATACTCAGCTTGTTTACCTTGGGTCGTCTGGTCAAAACCTCTACAAATATTACGCACACGGTCAAGCGCGCTCGCGCACTTGCGTCAATGTTTGTGTTGACGAGTCGCGTGAAAATGTTCTATGTCATAAACACGCTATCAGCCTCGCGCTATGGCCAAATATTATCAAACATCGTATCGACATCGGTCTCTTATCTAATTATCGAAAATGATTCGGGGGAGCAGACGGGGAAGGACTACGGGGGAGATATGGGCGAAAAAATTTTGGTGGACGATTGCTGACCCGGAATTGAATTGACATTAACCCATTGAGGATGATGTGGCCCACCGGTGGCCCACGCACTTTTTGCTGCCTGAGACGGTGTGGACCACCGGTGGCCCACATCGTTGCAAAGTCATATCCTTTGTAGGTTTGGTATTTCCTCCATAGATTAATATTATTTACAATTTTTTGCTTTCTTGTAATCTGTAGGCTTAGTCATTCAAAAAAATGTTTAAAGTTGTTTACAAAACAAACTTGCATTTCGTTAATAACTACGAAATCTTCTCAAACCGGAAGTGTTGTGCAAAATCGCGTCGTCCCACAGCGCCGCCATGCAAAATTAGGCGTCGTTGTCAATGGGGTAAACTGCTACGACTTACACTGGAGAATGGGCATTACTGTATTTTCTTAAGTCACAAAATCCCATTATATATATTTTTGTGACCATCTAGCTCGAGGCAAGGAGAAAAGAAAGAGGACTGGTTGGGCATGAAAATTTAGAAAATGAGCTTTATTCAGTTTTTTCTACTAATAATTCAAATTTCCGGTATCAACGTTTTTGTAACACACTTGACAAATCTTTTAGCATCACGAGAACAACGGATCATTGAATTGGCCTTGGAGCACTGGCACAATATCACATGCTTGAATTTCATGCGGAATGATAACGCCAACAGTGGAAATCGGATAGGTTAGTAAAGATTTTTGTACAGCTTTATCTTCAAAGTACCATTGTAACAAGCGAGCCGTCACGAATATTTGTAGCGTGGACGGTTCAACCTGCCTCGGCGTACTGTAAGAGTACGGTAAGATTTCTATAGATTGTGCGAATTAATGATAATTGACCACGTTGGAAATAGTAGGAGCCGAAACTTCCTAGATTATCGAAATCTGAGGAAATGAACTTAAGGAAAAGACCCCATTTACAATGCAAAGGTTTTATTTATGTATGCACAAGGTAAAAACATTGTTTTGTGGAAATCGTAACGTAGAATACGGTCTTAGCTTTCTTCTATGTACTGTGGAAGTACGATAAGGATACTATATCCATAGACTGTAGAAACCATAATGATTAACTTCGGAAATACTAGTGGCACACATTTTTTGAATTTTGAAAGCTAAAAAAAAGAACGTTTCAACAACTCCAGAAACCGTTCTAGAACTTTCAACAGAAATCGATATGATACAAAATGCAAACTTGTTTCACTTTTCAAATTTATGTCTACAAAAAGAGTAATTGAAGGCCTTTCAATCAAAAATTATAGGCAGTAATCCTACAAAAACTACAGTAATCTACCGTAAACCTGAAACGATCCACTTCTACAGATTTTCGACTATCGTAACTTTTGACTTTTGAGTAGAATTTCAGCAAAAATTATATGTTGTTACATTGATCAAAATCATCGTTCTTCAAAAAAATTTTACGATTCTGTCAGTTTTGCCTCTAACAAATTTGCGCAATTTTTATTTCTTCACATACAGTGCGCTGAACTATTTGCGAAAGTCAAATAACAATCCTACCGTAATCCCTAACCTTAGTAGCATCAACCAATTGCTTTAAAATTTATTTCTGTCGCTATTTGCTTTTTATTCGTGGCTGCGAATGTGTTCCCATGCACTTTGCGAATCTGAAGTATGTCGCAAGCGATGCGCGCAACCAACACATTCACATAGTGCTCTCGAATGGGTTCAACGATACACTCTTGTAATGCACTCCATACATTCCAGTTTTCACGGACGTTGATGGTTGTGCCAGTAACGTAGGTAGGCACCCGCTTGGCGAGGAGCAATTAGTGTCGCTAGCACCCGAATGTATTCGAGTAAGTGTGTATTTTCAAAGCACATTATGTTCTTGAATTTTTCTGCGCTTTAATGGGATCTTTGAAGATAAAGTCCGCCTAAATCCAGTTTGGTGTTTGACACAGTACAATAGGGAGGGGCCTAACTAAGTAACTGCCCAAGTCCAGCTGCAAAAGATGCACTCCAAAGCGAGAAAATCGCTGTAAATGGTGGATGCTGCTGGGGTCGACACGCCCATCAAAGGCGCAAAGATATTGAGCATAATGATGGGCTTAATACCTACAAACATCGAAAATCCGCCTTTCGTTCTAAAAAACAGACTTTCTGTGTTATTCTGGAGTCCGTTGGCTCATTACTTTCAGACCACCCACGTTGATGGGCGTGGCGACCCCAACAGCATCCAGCTTTTGGAGCGATTTTCTCGCTTCGGAGTACCGTTTTCGCACCATGAATTGGGCAATCATTCAGTTAGGGGCCTCGCTATTGACTACATAAAAAATATCACCAAACTCAGATTTAGGTAGACGACCTTCAAAGTGATATTTGCCTTTTTAATCCATTGACGACGACGCCTAATTTTGCATGGCGGCGCTTTGGGACGAGTTTTGTGGTTATTTACGAAAAGCAAGGTTGTTTTGTAAACAACTATAAACATTTTATTGAACGACCAAAAAATTGGAAAGAATACAACATGTGGAAAAGATAATAGACCTACAAAGAATATGACTTTGCAAGAAGTGTGGGCCACTGGCCCACATCGTCGTCAATGGGTTAAGATTTAGGTGGACAACCTTCAAGGTGATTTTTGCCTTTTTTTACTACTAAAGTAACATTTTTTCCAGCTGGGTGTAATCGCCCATGAAGTAGCACATGCGTTAGGATTTTGGCATGAACAATCACGACCCGATCGTGATCAATTTGTGAATGTACGATGGGAGAACATAGACAAGGTGAGCCGATTTCATCGAATACGTTGAAAGAAACGTTTAGTGAAAGAGATGTTACACTAACGAACCCGTATGGGTGTTTGATTTCTAATTTCTACTTCCTTATACTTTGATGGGAATTCAGATCTGTGTTTAGGATTCAAAAGGACAATTTTTAAAAGAAGACCCAGATGATGTAGACAATGCTGGTGTGCCATATGATTACGGTAGTATTATGCATTATAGGTAAGAATGAAAAATTCACTTTTTATGACATTATTCTTAAAATTATAAGAAGAATTACAATTTATGAATTTTTTTGTCACTGAAACAAGCGATTTTGTTTAGGAGCAAAGCATTTTCTCGTTATGATGATCTCTATACAATTAGCACATTCGTGACTGATTATCAAAAAACTATTGGTGAGTTGTTTTGTGATTTTCTTCACTTTGTTTTGCTCATTTCTAGAGTTTTTTTTTGTTGCTAACTCAATGCTCGCTAATAGGCATCATAATTATTTACTAAGACAAATAAATTCTGGCTTGTAATCATCGGTTATTTCCAGATTTAAATCGAATATGAAGAATTCGATTTGAAATTAGGATATTTTTTTTGGATTATTATATCCGATTTTGATATAACTTTTGAAGCTAGATTCCATTTTCAATAAACAATATAATCCCTTTCCTAGCACCGATTTTCAAAAAGTGTAGAATTTAATTCCGTTTTGGACAATCCTTTCATTTTCTTAGACTGTTGCGCACTGACCTCATTGCGTTATGTTTCAGGACAACGGGATCAACTATCATTCAACGATATCCGGTTGATGAATAAGATTTACTGTAGTAATGTATGTCCTAGGAAATTGCCATGTCAGCGTGGAGGTTATACAGATCCGAGGAGGTGAGTATAAGTCAACAGTGCATGAATAATATAGGTTTATTTTTGTTCACGAAATAGGAGTGGACTTGAGCAGCTGCAAAAATGGCACTGTTATTAAAGTCAAAAACTGCGATTCGGACTTACGCATCCGCGCCGCATCGCAATGTGAAGCAATAGGCTGGCGGTCCTGCGCATTATTAGAGCAATAATCTTGCTCTTTTATCGCGATCAAATGACAAGGAAGCCGTTTTGACAGAAACTTGCGATTATTCACAACTAAACCCTCTGAGAATCGCCACGCGGTGAAAAGTCCTTTCGTCCCAAATCATGCTTTGTCTTTCGTAAGCAGGTGTTTGGTACCGTGGCGGTCAACCTTGATTTTTGTATTGTTATTCTTACGGGGGTACCAAACAACAGAATGATGAATTTGACGGAACCGGAAGATGTTTTGATTGCAAAATTTCAATGATCGCGCATCATAAGACATATTGAAAACGATAGCATCAACTTCGAACAATCCATGGTCAAACACCATACTTGCAAGAAAGCAGATATAATTAGTTATTTTGGAAGTTGATCACTGAAAGTGGGAGAGTGACACACACTAGACTGGATCACTGTATCGTTATTTACAAGTATTTTTGATGAAACTGAAGAGTATTTTTTGATTATGTTCTACATATCTTTCCAAACGCTAATTTTGTTTTGAAAATTGTTTTTTTAATAATAAACTTGGAATTATTAAGCAGAAGTTCGTCTTTTGTAGCCTTTAAGGCTGTAAAACAATGGGCCAAAGTCATAGTATAAATATGGTGGAAAATTATAATTCGAATATTTGCAACAGCAGTTACGAACCGAAAGGGGGAGGGGGATGCCAAGGGTCAGAATTTTGCATTTGGTGTATATAGGCATAGATTTATGTAGGTATTTAAGTTTCCCAATTTCTCATGATTACCAGCGAGCCCCCACCCCCTCCCCGCGCTCTCATCTAAAGCTTTGCCGCTTCTGAAAATTGGTATCTGCAGCAATAGGCAGAAATTTTCCACAAAAAAGTTAGAAAAGTGATAAGAGCAATCACCCGGAATGCTTTCAACCTACAATTAATTTTCCACGGTTTCACTTTTTTTCACGGGAAAAAGAAGCGGGAATTTCTTTCACAATGTCTCAATGCAACGCCTGCTTTATCTCGCGGTCGTTGTCACTGTTGACTAGCGTCTCCCCATAACTCATCGAGTGTAACTAAACCAGTTTGTGTTTATCTATCATTGCGACCAAATTGTCAACACACAATCGGTTGTAATCAATAGCGCGTACGTTGATCATCTCGCTGCTAGACAGTCCAAGCATCCAGTTTCTTCTGTTCTTCTTTCAACGAAATATACAGGCTGAAAACATTGCAAAGTTGGGGCTTTGTGACAAGAAACGAAAGTGCAGGATTTTTTTTTGGAGTTCTTCAAGAGCTATCATCTTCCCCTGTAGCTGATTCCAGCTGAATCGAAAATCCGGAATATTTGTCCTTGAAGCTAAGCGAGAATCATGAAAAATGGCTGTATGTTGAGAAATATGAACAGGGATTGAAAGAAATTGAAGGATCGTGTACGCCGTGACCTCTTCCATTCGATGCAGATGATAATTATTTTGGGATTTCGTCGTGAACTTGTTATTGAGATTTTTTATCATCTGGAACTACGGTACCGCTCGTATTCAAAAAAAAAAACGAGGCAAAGTCGCCCGATTCGGGTGAAATCACCGCAGCTGGCCATATCTCGCTTCAGAATGGACGAATGCTTAACCCAAGGGCACCATTCGACTCAGCTCGGCACGGCGCACCTTCTGATTTATAGAAGTGCCTGTTTGGGACAGTAGAAGGCCTATTCCACTTATCGTTTCAGATTTTTATTTACGATAGGTTGCACAATGAGTGCAATAATTAAGCACACTAAGTAACCTACCGTAGGCAAAAATCTGGAACAATTCCGGAATCTGGCCTCGATAAAGGAAAGCAGCCTATAACATACACCCCATCCCGAAGTTTATGTGTGCAAAGTTTAGTACGGGTTGGTTCAGAAATATAAAAATTTGGATCTGGAACATAGTATGTACAGACAGACGACAGACAGACAAACAGTCATTCCTTTTTATATAGGATAAGATATATTTTGCTCTCAATGAAACTTATGCTTGGGAAATTGGTAAAATGTTTTTGGGAAGCCGCGACAGTCACGTCCTTCGCTGACTAATATGATTTCCTTCGGCAAATCACTTTTTAGAGAATGTGTTCTAATTTGTTACATATTATGCAATTAGACTGCTTTTGTTCTTCTGTAATTTTTCTATCTGACCGTTGAAACCGACAAAGTTTTCTGTTCAGCTGACTCTATGAATTTCAGATGCGACCGATGTCGATGTCCAGACGGATTTACCGGCCAATTTTGCGAACAAGTAATGCCTGGTTATGGAGCAGTATGTGGAGGAAGATTGCAGGTACATAAGAATTTACTTCACAACAGTCGCCAAAGTTTTACTTTTACTTCATGCATTTTTTATCTCCAGATGAACAGTGGGTGGACAAGATTCAGCAGTCCAGGATATCCACGAGAATTCAAAGAGGGTAGGGACATTTGTTTTCGTGATAAAGAAAAATCAATGCAAAAGATTTTTAGGGCAAGAATGTTCCTGGTTGTTGGTAGCTCCACAGGGACAAGTAGTTGAGATGCAGTTCATTGGAGAGTTTGAAATGTATTGCAAAGTAAGTTTTTGGAATTCCATCATAAAACGTTGCTATGGAGAATGGTGCAAACTCCGCCCTTTACTCCGCCCATTTTTGGCTTTCCTGCATCAGCAGAAAGTTTATGCGACAGTTTTCAAATGCTAAAAATTTATAGTTAAGGTTCGGCATTCATTATGCATGGATTACGTCGAGGTGCGTAATTCGACTGACTTCGCTAACACTGGAATGAGGTGGGTTTGCTCTTTCCCCCCCCCCCCCCCCCTCCTCGCCCTCCCCCATTTGTTGCCTTTTTCGTCTACCAGTCCACTTTTTTGCAGGTACTGCTGCTACGGTACACCTAGGACGAGTATACGATCTGCAACTACAGACCTTGTCGTGCTCTTCCGCAGCTTCTATCGCGGTGGTCGCGGCTTCGAGGCACGAGCCCGTGCGCTACCAGCGAATGGTCAGTGGGCGCCATGGACGCCGTGGACACCTTGCACGGCTAGTTGTGGTGCATGCGGCTCACGAATGCGGACACGTATCTGCCCCTATGGAGCATGCGCGTATGTATTTAGCACATTCACTCACGTTTTACCCCTTGTCAGCACTTGTACAACCACGTCAATTGGATATTTGTGCAACTGCACACCCAGCACTAAGAATAAAACTCAGCTCTGGAAACTCTGAAGATTCGGCTTTTCCATTTGGGTGTGCGGCTGCACTGATATAAGAAAATGCAGTCTAGGGATCTTATGCTTTTGCTCAAAAATATGGAGCTAAAGTACCGTTGATTGGCTAGTAAGATGAACAATGTTTTGATGCATTAGAGCGCTTCTTGTTGTCGTAAAGTTGTGTGTATCTGGTGTAGTGGTTAACGTCGTTTTCCAACGTTTTGCATCCAATTTTAGATTATGTGAAGCATTTTTCCCTTTGTGCATGCTACATTCCTGTATTAGAAGGTTGGTAAACGATTTGGAAAAAATAAGCAAAAAATCTTATTACGTCTTGAGAATTTTCTGCTCCTCCTTCGATTTTCTTTTCGATCAACCATTTACTAAATTTTGAATAATTGAAAAATTTCCAAATTCGGTTTTTCTGATATCAAAATGTCATCGAACAGCTTTCTAATGAACAAATTTGCTTTCTAATGGGGGTTATTCAGGGCCCGGCGCAGATTGTATAGAAGAGGGCTGGACTTCGCTTTTGAGGCAGAAGAGCAAAGGGGACATCGTTTTTGTGGCCAAAAATTGCGACTCCAGGCGACGTCTCATTTTTTGAGGTTGAGTCCAAGGGAACGTCGTAAAATTTCGCTATAGTTAAGAGGAACTTCGTTTTCAAGAAGCCTAGAAACGAACTTGTGCCAGGCCCTTGAGTTACTCTCTCCTTCTGAAAAGAACATTGAATTAGTTTAGAAGGCAACTTCATAGATTTGCTGAAGCAGGACTTTTTTGCTCTGAAAGTGATTTTCTTTGGAGAGTCATCTAGACCTTAATTTGCATGCATTCCATTACATTCGGTACGAGTTTGTTTAGAAATATGAAATTTTTACACAACCTTTGCTATCGAAAAGATTACGTGTTTATTTGATTTTTGTAAGTAAAATTTAAATTTTTAAAATTCAATCAAACAGTTAATGGTGATTGGACCTGAGGAAAAGCTCCTTTGCTATGAAGTTATAGTCCGCAAATTCTGGGAACGAGAAAACGTCAAAAGCAGGAAGGACAAAAGGACGGGGCAGGGTTGTTGGGAACTAATCTATAATTAATTAGCATTGGTAATAAGGGTCCCATGTCTAAATGAATACCCAAAATCAAAGTAGTATTTTTTCGCATGTAACTTCCAAAAAGCTTTCCTTTGATTTTTTCTTTTTTTTCCCACCTTTCAGAATAGTTTCGAATAGTCACTTATATAATAAGGCGTAAATGGAATTTAAATTGTTACAGGAAGTACAGAGAACAAAACTGGTTCAATATCTCTTTCTCTGTCAAACCTATAATTTGCATCAATTCTCCGATAAGTGTTCAAGCCTTTCGCAACTGCTTTCTTGCTAATTGGATTAGAAATTGTCCCCAATTTTCCCTTCTTCGACGGAGTCGATTCGTCCGGTTTTTATTCGTACATACTCAAATTTTCGCTACCTTGCAGAGGTGAACCGGTCGAAACCCAAGTTTGCAACATCCATCCCTGTAACGGACTTTGTGCACAAAAGAAAACTGAGGAGGGTGAATGCAGCGGATTTTTATCGTTATTACGAGGAGTCAGGTGTAAACAGTAAGTTTGTCTGGATTATGGTAATTTGCGGACATTTGGAAAATGATTACTGTATTCAGAGAACGTACCGTAATGGAACCGTGCGATAACGCTTGTTGTCCAGGATTTACGAATGTGGGTGGTCGCTGTGTGCGATGATATACGGGATGATTTTGGTCTTTGATCAATTTTATGTATAGTTTTGATGAACAGGATAATAAAATTTTATTTTCATTGTTTACATTTTTCATTGTGTTGAAGTACCCGAGCACATCTGCAAAGGCAAAGCGCAGTTTATGCTTGTTATTTACTCTACGCTCGGTGCCACAATATCGTATGCTCAATCTATATCGTAGTTACGGGATTAGAGGAAAGTAAAAAAGTCATGGAGTTTGTGTGATGCGAAAAAGATCCCGTGTAATGCACGTATCAAAGGCAGCGTCCAAGCAAAATCTGCTCTCCCGATTAGTACCCAATCTACAAGAAGGCCCTAAGAGCAGGACATCTACGCTGATCCGGCCCTCTAATGTGGCCTCTGCAGTAGAAAATGGACATGGAACCCACGGAAGTGCTACGAGCCACGCGCTCAGGGCCCGGCAAGAGTCCGTTTCTAGGCTTTTTGGAAACGAAGTCCCCTCTGACTTTCGAAAATTTTACGAAGTCCCCTTTGACCCTTGCTCTACCCACCCCCCCCCCCCCCCTCCTGTTGGCGAATCGTTGCATACTCATCTATCATCGACTCCACGATTCGTGTAGAGGCGGGGTTTTGCCACCTCGTGCGTGGCGCTTTTTGATAGTGAGAGAGTACGAAAAACAATGCTATCACGTGGATGTTTAACAAGTTCATCCTTAAGATCAGGCAAAGTCCGTAACCCGCCTCTACACGAATCGTGGAGACGATCATATGTAGTTCTTGCCAAAACCATTTACCTGCTGCGAGCTGAGAATCTCGCGACTTCAGGTCAAACTCTCGAAGAAAAACCACGAAATCCACAGAATTTTGTTTCATAAAGCCCTATATGGTAACAAAACGATCAAAATAGGTCACGAGATGAAGAAAGGGGGAGAAGAAGAAAGAAGAATGGACGAAATCATCAAAATATTGAAAAAAATGCTAGAACTAAGAATGAAAATTCAAAAGGAGAGGATGCAGGAAAGTTGACGCTGGGGCGCGATATCTGATAAGGCGTTTCGAAAAAAGAAGAGGGTAAAAAACGACGGACAGGGTGATATGAAAATGTTTCTACGCTCAGGCATAGATTCTTGACCGGGGAATCCGTCCATGCTAAAAAAAATCCGAAACTTATGTGAAGTGAAGGAAATATATGCTCCAGACGATCTCAGATCGCCTGGTGCCCGTCTGGAGACGATCTAATTTTGGAAAAGGTATTACTTTACATAAGTTTTTAAATCTTTTTACATAATTCTTCCTCAAATAATTTACTATACATATAGTTCAATTATTATCATATGCTTCTGTGTGTGCTGTAAACAAGCAATTCGTTTATTCTAGCCTTGCTTTCAAATTGCGCGCACTTTTCGTCATACACGATAGAGCACGTCAATCGTATGATAACCTGTCCGCAAAGCTTGTGTTCGACTAAATGGCGCTTATTTTTTGTGCTCGGCCCCGACTGGTTAACCCATTGACAACGACGCCTAATTTTGCGCGGCGGCGCTGTGGGACGACGCGATTTTGCACAACACTTTCAGTGTGGGAAGGTTTCGTGCTTATTTACGAAATGCAACATTGTTTTGAACAACTATTAACATTTTCTTGAACGACAGACCCTACAGGTCCTAAGATTACAAAAAACTGGAAAAAATATTCATATGTGCAAAAATACTAGACCTGCAAATAATACGACTTTGCGAGAGGTGTGGGCCACCGGGGGTCCACATCGTCCCTGGCAGCAAAAAGCGCGTAGGCCACCGGTGGTCCACATCGTCGTCAGTGGGATAAAAACGAAATCCCCTCTGCTTTTTGCTCAAAACGAAGTCCAGCCTGCTTCCAGACGATCTGTGCCGGGCCCTGCGCGCCCTCCCTACCAAGCTCCGCTCACCCAAGTAGTGAAAGTCGTCTGCGCCTTTAGGGTAGAGCTCCCAGAAATCGGATTTTTGGGGATTTTACATTCTGCAATTCATGTAATCAGAGCCACGGAAAGGCCCATTGACAACAACATGGAAGACGAAGTGGTTGGATGCTGCCTTCAAGATAGTTTGTGAATTCTTTGCGCATTGCTTGCTCACAGTCGCAAATTAAAAGCAAAAAATGCGTTTCCAACTCTCAACCAGGCACAGATTTGAAGACGGAAAAAACTGGTTTTGCTTTGTAGCAAGCATTAAGTCAGCTGATAAATTCACAGATGAGTTGATATGAGAGGATGGATACTATTAGGCTGGCCAGTAAGTTTTGCTACTATTACCATAACGTTTTTCTCACTAAATGTACACTCTCATTCCCTGACATCAAGTAGAGTGTGACGTAAGCTGCAAGGACCGTTTGATTTATGATAACGGAGTAGAAACATTTTGAGTATTTTTCGAAAACCTTTGAAAATTGAGGTTTCACGGTTTTCTGGCAAACATGAAGCCGTACAAACCTGAGTCAAAATATCAAAAAGGAATTAGCAGCATGCAGCTAGGAGTTGACACATCAAACCAGTAAAAAGAAGTGAAATAGACAAATTAAGGTAAGGCGCTTTTGAGAAGTAGAACAAGTCAAATGCGTCAAGTTTGGAGGATCAATAACCAAGCTGCGAAACCTCAAAAATCTCTAAAAAAAATTTTGCACAATAAGGTAAGCAAATGCGGTGAACACGACTATCATATTCATTTGTCGCTAAGCTGAAGTTCATCCCTTGACCTTACGAAAGAGGCCTTTTCATGCAAAGGGGTCTCAGGGGTTTCTGTGATCATCATGTCGCATGGCCCCTTAGGCCAGTTTTAGCAAAATCTGAGGGAAAACAAAAATTTCCCTATTATACGGTAAACCTATTGTACCTTGCATGAGAGCAAAATTCGGCGAAAATGTCTGCATTTGCACTTTACATTTTACATCATAATTCTTATATTGCCAGAAAAAGAATGCCCTACGTTCAAAAAGACAAAAATTATATAATAAGTTGCGCTACTTATATGGCAACCTAATAGTACATGCTACTGCCCACACTCCCGAGATGACTTGCCAGAAACAGGAGTTAATCGGACCAAGGGACTCTACCAAGAGTTGTTGACAGCACAATCCACAAAATTCGCCTGTGGAAATCTGAACAAGTTTGAATAATGGAGAGCACCTATTTGACTGTTCCTTGCTAACATAAGCGGGAAATCCATATAAAGGCTACTGGACGAAAGCGCAGAAGCAGCATTGGTTGAGCGGGTGCAAACGCGGCACATGCGTATCCTCACCGTAGTAAATCCTGCGCCTCATGCGGCTAGTAAAGACGCGTTCGCGCCCAAAGATCAGAAGTTTTTTATGTTGGCCCCGCCCCTCTTTTGGCAAATTCCGCCTTTGTTGCCCTCTACAAAAAACATTTTTCGTTCTCAAATCGCATAGAAAGATCGTGGACAACTGGGGACCTCATATAATCTTAATTTTGACCCCGCCCCCCATTATGCAGGCCCTACCCCCTGAGGGGCAAGTTCTGCCCACTTTTCAAAAATGCCGGAATTTGAACGAATTCATTGATTTTGAGCAATTTTGAGCATTTTTGGAAAGTGGGCGGGGCTTGCCAAAAGTGTGCGGAGCCACCCCGCCCACTTGCATTTTTGTGCCTCACGCATAGATGCATACATACATATACGCAGCCGGCTGTGAAAATGCCCAAAAACGGTTCGTCCACAGGGACAGACGTCAGAAAAACACCTCGTCGTCATGTTAAGCAAGCTATTGTCAAGATATTAAGCTGAAATTTTGGCCATAGGTCGTTATTCTGGTCGTCAATTTGTCACGGTTCCACCTATATCTGTAAAGATTTTTGCTCAGAAATGTGGGTGACGGAAGTGACTATTCTTTATGAAATTTGCCTAGCCATAATAACTACAGTAACTGACCGAAATTCTCTTTTATTCTTCTACTTGAGGATTTTCTCTTCTCAAAGTTTCCGATCTCACAAGGAAAAGCCAATGAAATGAGTAGTCGTTTGAAATTCGTTCATGCTGGTCAGCATCGCCCGGTGAGTTCCAGAGCCAACATCATGCTAGCAAGAGGAACGCATATATTAGATAGAGGAGCCAGTGCGAGCCTGTGCGAAGCAGAGGTGGCGGTAGTAAATAAACGCCTTTATGAGCATTAAGTATTAGGTCGTTCCACAAGTTCGTAGCGTATTCATTTTCGTACTCATACCTTTGAGGAGCGGTTGGTTTGCGGCAAGGTGCGTATATCATTTGGAAGAGCTGATTGTGTTCTGGGACACTTCTACTAATTTCGGTGAAAAGCTGACTCACTCGGATCTCGCAGCTTTCAAAGATGGAAATCTTGAGAGGCAAAAAGGTGCAATTTCGGCATTTGCGCCTTTTTCCTTATGAAAAGAAGAGCTTCTGCATGGATTTTTGTGTTGATTATGGAACACGGCACTCGCGCATCAATATGAGACAAAAAAGGATAGGATTGCTACAAAAGATCAGGGACTGAGCAGGGTGTCCCTGAACAAGACTTTTCGGGGGACGGGCAGGATCCTACACTGGAAATTGCTGTACAGGTAGGCGATGGTCAACCATACCGTAAGCAATCCAACTGCATAGTCTAAACCAGGTCTACCGCAGAAAACGCCCAATAGACAGATTTAGCGAGTTTCTCGGTGTGACGAAACATAGCCTCATACGGCAAACGTCGTCAAAACTGCCCTCCACGATTTGACTGGAAGGTACTTCAATACCCAAGTACTCTCCATGCCTCGCTCTATCAGATTATCATTTGCTCCGCTCTTTGGCAAATCTCAAGAATGGTGCATTCTCGATTTCAGTGACAGTTTGAGCGCTGGTTAGATGACTTTATTGGGACCCGGCGCGCTGCCGTTCAAGAAATGGAGCTTGAAAAGCTAATAAGAATGTGCCAAAAGGTCGTGCGCAACAAAAAGGAATATAATCTTTAATGATTTTTACTGCAAATCAATGATTTTGTTGGTTTATAAAGCTACGAACTTATGAAACGACCTAATAGTATCATAAGTTTGTAGTGCCCTCACTTTCTTCCTCGCTTCTGTGGGTAGCGGTTGACTTTCAACACAAAT